AAAGAGGCGGCTAATGATCTCCGGCTCCGCTCTGCTTCTCCAACATCTGGCGCTGCCCTGTTCTGTGCGCCGGCTGCTCGGACTTGCTGGGCCTGACACAGAACAGGGTGGCGCCGGATGTTGGAGAAGCAGAGCGGAGCCGGAGATCATTAGCCGCCTCTTTTGCAGCACAAGAAGAACAGGGTGGTGCCGGACCATTGGAGAAGCGGAGCAAAGCCGGAGATTAGTAGCTGCCTCTTTCGGCGCAGAAAGCTTCCCCCAACCAGCCGGCTGGTCTCCTCCTTCTCTGCCTGTTTGTTCTGTATGGCCGAGGAGGAGGAGACCAGCTGAGAAGCACGCTGCCAGGCGGGGGCCACGCGGTGCAGGGCAATACGCCACCGCCCAGCCCTGGCTTGGGAAAGCAGTGGGCGTTCCCCGGGCGGTGGCCTTGGCCCCGCTAGCAGGGAAGCAGCTGCCCAGCTCCGTGTTGTGTGTGCAATTTTTTGGCACGCGGCGCGGGGTCTCTTTTGGCCGGCCCCAATTTTTTTTTCAGAGGGGAATATTTTTTTTTCAGAGGCGGGCCGTATTAAAATGACCAATGGGCCGGATGTGTCCCGCGGGCCGTAGTTTGCCCACCCCTGAGCTAGAGTATATTCAATCACCTTTCCTTTACAAGTAATTAAGAGGAATGCAGCAAAATAATTATATCCTTATTCCCTATGATTAAAACCACTTATTTGTTTACTTATTATTGAAAGTTATATCTCAACTTTTTGTTCATTCCAGCCCTCAGGTGATCTACAAACAAAATTACAGGGTACAAGAGTATCAGAATATAATTAAAATGTAAGCAAAAATAAACTCTGTTATTGACATAATTAACAGTCAATTTTCTAAATACTATGAGCCTGGGAGCTAAATCCATCCCCCTCCACTGATTGGGAGCTATTCAGGAGAAATCTTGTTACCCGTCCCTTTTATGGCAGTGGTGGGTGCTTCCAAATCTGTCACATGTCCAAATAATGCTGATCTGAGTAGCTGAGTAGTTCCACAATGAGAGAAATACTGCAGTCACGCTGAAGGCAGAAAGCTCAATGTCCACACCTTGTGTCTGGTAAGCCTTCCAGAATTTTTTCCTTACCAACAGTATCTTCCTATTTTATCTGGATTTATTGTCATCTGCCTTCATCCAATCTATTACAGAGATAAGATCGCCTTCAAGGATTGCTTCCTTGGAGTTTGCAGGTAGGGAATATGGAGCTGAGAATCGTCACCAAATTAGTGATCCCCATTCCACAGTTATAAATGAATTCTTCCAAAGTTTAAACAGCCTATTAAAAAAAGTCAAAATCCTGTGGAACTGTGGCTCCCACAGTTCTACCTTAGACTTAGCATAACTTTGAATGTATACTAATTGGCATATATTAAAATGAAATTTTGTTGCATACAGCTCTCAGAGAGTCTCCACCTCCCATATGCACTACATAAATGTGACAAAATAAATATAAAATTATGCATATACCCACATATATGACAGAGAAACAAGAGTCTAGTTTGGGTGTACATGGTGAGAAAATAGAATCTTACGAGTTTACCAAATGGATGGTATAAGGAACAAAGCTGATACAAAATCTGGTAGTGCTGCTGGAAATATTTCAAAATCTCCTCCCAGAGGGGAGCAACAGAAACAGACTGTGAAGTGGGTGTGTGTGTGGGGTCTCTAACAATGCTTTGAGCACAAAGCACTTATAAGCAGTATCCTGAATTACAGGAAGTGATCTTCCTAAATCTTCTCAGCTATCCTTACCACTCTCTATATCAGTGGTCCCCAACCTTTTTTGTGCCAGGGACCAGTTTCACTCAGAAACACTTTTTCAAGGACCGGGGGGGGGGTCCGAGTTTGGTGGTTTGCTTGCAGACGTTTCATTATCTGACAAGGTAACATCTGATGTTGTTACCTAGTCGGGTAATAAAACGTCTGCCAGCAAACCACCAAGTTCAGGGAACGCCAATGCCTCCTCATTGCAACCCTGAGCGACAGATAGTCCCTGCAGGACAGCTGAGAAGCCTCGCCTCTCGGCCCTGCCTTCATCAGCCCCATCCCTCAGGTGTCTCCCTCCCTCCCTCAGCCTCATCCCTCAGGTGTCTGCCTCGTTCCTCTCTCAGTCGCTCTCTCACTCCTCCACCAGCCCAGGAAGAAACTGCTTCAAAGAAGCCGGCAGGGTGGCTTTTCCTGTCGGCGCAGCTTCCCCAAAGCGCCCGTTCACCCCCACCCCGCCGCCCACGGTTCAATCCTCCGTTCTGCCTGCCTGCCTTCGTTTTTGGTGGTTTCGGATCCTCCGAAGCGCCCGTTCACCCCTGCCCCGCCCCGCCCCGCCGCCCGCGGTTCAATCCAGTGCTCCGTTCTGCCTGCCTGCCTGCCTTGGTTTCTGGTAGTTTCGGAGCAGCTTCGGCTGAGAAAAAGAGGCGAATAGTTATTATTCTCAGCCGAAGCTGCTCCGAAACTACCAGAAACGAAGGCAGGCAGGCAGGCAGAACGGAGCACTGGATTGAACCTGGATTGATTGGCGGCGGGGTGGGGGTGAAACGGGCGCTTCGGAGGAGCTGGGCCGACAGGAAAAGCCACCCCACCCCCCACCCCCCCAGCTTCTTTGAAGCAATTTCTTCCTGGGC